TCAGAGTCAATTTGAACTAAGCTCTACACAGACAAAAAATCTGGCTGGAAAAATTGGCAAGATCGTAGAAATATAACAGATTGAGAAAATATGAGAAAATTATGTTTGTGTTGAGTTAATTATTTTAGTTTATTAGCTTATCTAGTTTATTAGCATGTATAAATAAAATACATCTTGTTTTATTTTTTCTTGTTTTATTTTGATTAAGTTTATGAAAAAAATGAATGTTTTACTTCCCACATATGATTTTGATAAGACAAGTAGTATGTGACACTGTATGGGCTCACATTCAGTCCTGTCCGATGTCATAATGCCCACTCTCCCAGGTAGCTTTGTCCTCCCTTTGGTCTCCTGAGGTTCCTCTTGCCTCTCTCCTCCAGTTCGTTCTGCCTCGGGATCTGCCTCCCTGAAACATGATCACGTGGCTCCCTGTTCTGGGCTTTGCCCCTGTTCTTTACAGCCCACACAGTGAAAATCCAGTCTTTCTCTCATATTGGAAACCTTCCACACTGTTCCAAACCTTTTCTCTGCCTTTCCCTCCCCCACTCTCCTTTTATTGTACCCTAAACTCTGAGTACTGGCCCTACAGGATATACTTTCCCATCTCTTGATGTTTATACACTCTCATCACTGTTTGAAATGTCCTTTATTCATCCTTGCTTGTCCATTTCCTGTCTGTCTACTCTTTCAAATGCTTTCTCTTTTGAGCAACTTCTGATCTGCTTCCTACTCAGCCCACAAATTCCAAGCTAGAATTATTATTTTCATGCCATGAATATTCATAGCACATATTCATTCTTGCTTTTCTCACTTGGAAAAATTATTCATATACCTTTTCCTGTTATCTGTGGATAACCTCTAGATTTCTTAAGGGAAGGAGTCTTGTTTTTGTTGATTGTTACATTTTTAGATCCTCTTTAGTGTCTGGTGTTGATGTTTGTATATAATTACACAATTGACTTACTGTGGATAAGTAAATCAGTACTTAATGGCAGACATGAAAACTCTGATATATAATTTCAGCTGGTGGATTTTAACTTCTTTGATACATAGTAGCACTAATGAGATAAGATACTTTTCCTAGGTTGAACATCTTCTGCTCTTTAGTCATTGATAAGAAAGCCCTGGTAGTTGCTAGGTAACAATGACTGGACTGTGTATTTTCTGTCCCAGCACAACCTGTTTCCATAAAAACTATTGGGTTGTAGCAGCAAAACCATATTCTCCAGAGACTTAGACACAGTGTAGAAACCCTCACTGTACTTGGGGTTTTCATAGGTAGAAAGAAAAAAGTCAATTTCGTGTCTAAACATTGCTGCCAGTGAAAAAAGCAGAACAATGATCTTTCACTAACTACTGTAGTTAGCGGTAGCTGTAGACAAAGTGAACAAGATAGTAAAGAAAGGTCTTGTACTGTGTCTTGGGCTACAATTTTCTAGAGAAGCAATTTAGGATGTTGAACCCTAAATTAAGACCCATCCTTCTTTGTAGAAATGGTGTGAGCATTGAAATAAAACCATGGACCACATATGTACAGGAAATAGTTAATAGTGTCTCATGTTTTGTTTTTTATGTGAAATAGACTTTGCTATGTAGATTACTAACTTTGTGTAAATACTCTTCTGGTTATTCTGTTTTATTGTCTTTATTATTTTAAGAATCTTGCCTTTATTATTGTACAGGATGGCAGAGCTTGCTTTATCTTATCTCCACTTTGCATTACATGCATTTACTTAGTAGCTGCATGGGACGGTCCAGTCTTTGGTAGAATACATCATGGTCACTGATGGGCTTGAGTAAGAAATGAGAGGAATGTGTGGGGAGTGTGCTGGACAAGAACATGGTGTAAAGTGGGCAAAATTCAGGCTGTGAGAGGATAAGTCACACAGCTTAGAGAAAAAATTCTGCTGCAAAGATAAAGGATCATTTGCTTCCTGAATGAGCCATTCAGAAGGAACCATTGCCAAGTTGCTAAACTCTCCTGAGTGAGATTTTCCAGAAACTCCTACTGGTTAGTACTGATTAGTACTGGTTAGTATGAGAGACTTCGTTTAAATCACCCTTTTCAACCTTTACAACTTTTAATTTATCAGTGACCTAGGAGGAGGGTGTCAGGAGCCTTTTTGATCTTCAGAGGGTATTAAATTAGAACATGATTCCTTTTGTGAGTACATGTTGATAAAAACCAGATATGGTATAATCTCAGTTTTGGTTATACTTTTTAAAAGAAACAATATCTTCCCTTCTCTGAGTGCATTTCTTAACTAGAGCTTTAAGAATTAATCTTCAATTTGTGTTGTCACAAGGAGTAATCAGACTCTAACTTTATAAGCTTATCACCTTTGGACTTCTGCCCTGCACACAATTCATGTGCAAGGTAAAGCAAGACCTGGTACAGTTTAAGACTGAATTGCCACTTAGGAATTCCCTGATTTGTGAATAGAGCTTAATGTATTAGTCACCTAGAAATTGGGAATGCAAACGTGACCATATAAACCTGTCTGTCCTAATCAAGTTTTTAAAGCTGAATTAAGACAAATATTCCTAATATTCCTGGCTTGAATAATTATCAGAGATGAGTAGTTATAACTGAGCCACGTATTAATGGTGTGGTGGTAATTTTTAAGCCAGAGTACGCAGTCCCCTTGAGGGTTATTGAAGGCACAACACTTTATCTTGGTGGTTGTCTTTTTGATAGTTATGTAGAATGTCCTTATCAGAACAAGCCAAAACCTCTATTCTTTGACATTGCATACACTTTTGTGCTCTTAAAACAAAATGGACAATAATAGATCAGTTCCTTACAGAATACTTATAAATCAAAACCTTGTAAATTTTAATATTAATCTCTCACGCTTACTGTGTGCATGAGAAGTCCCTGCTTCCCAGACTGCACACAGATGGGTAGGGGAGCTAAGAGGTGTAAGCACACGTAACCGTACAAGCAGGACAGCCTCACACTAGTAGAATGGACCAAAGTACCAGGTGCAGTGAACAGCTGCTTCTTTCTAGCTGGGAAAATCAGTGAAGTTGGAAATTGCTGTTTTGAGCTGGATTTCAAAGGATATATTGGCAAAGACTATGGGAGAAGAAAAAAAGAAAGTGGGAAAATGCCCCTTGGGTTAAGGTCTGACATACACATGATGTATGTGATGTGATGTGGGAGGGCAGAGAAATTCCTTAGATGTGGTTAGCAAGATTCACTCTGCCTGCTCCCTCCCCTCTACTGCTTCTTAGTGGGGGAAATGGAGGGAAGGAGAGGAAACCTTAATCTTACCCTGTGGTCCTCTATTCACCTTTACCTTCCCACTTGCCATTTTAGATGGAGAATAAGACTAGGAGAGGGGAATGGAGGTGGGAGGGGGCCAGAAAAACTTCAGGATAGCACAGGGGGCTCTTTACCATATTTTTTCCTCTTTCTTCTTCCTTTTTCGGTGTCCTCTCCTTTTCCAAAGCTCGGCAGAGTCCATCATAGGAAAAGGCAAGGAAAATGTGGCTATAGGAATGTAACTGACCATTCATAGTCCGCCTGCCTATAATTAAATGACATTAAAGAGTGCAGATTATCGAGTAGTGTGTGCAGAAAATAAGAAGATACTCGGGTACGACGAACACTATTCAGGTGATGGGCACACTAAAAGCTCCTACTTAAGCATTATGAAAGGTAGGAACCTGTGGCCTCAAGACCACACGTGGCCTTGCAGATCCCCAAGTGTGGCCCCTCAACCGAATCCAAACTTCACAGAACAAATCCTAATTTGGATTCAGTCAAAAGGCAGCACTCAAGGATCCAGAAGGCCACATGTGGCCCCAAGGCTGCAGGTTCCCCACCCCAATATGTCATCATCATAATTAACAATTAAATTTTATTTAGGACCTACAAGATACACAGAATTGTCTTAAAACACAGTAGAAATTTATTTTAAAAGTTTTCCTTGAAGAGGTAGAAGGAGAATTAGTACAAAGTCTTTCTTGCTGAAATGTGGTACTTAAAGGAGCAATCATGGAATAGGATGCTGCGTAGACATAAATCTTTTGCAGTTTCAGTAAGTCATAGTTTTTTAGAATTGTGTGTGTGTGTGTGTGTGTGTGTGTGTGTGTGTGGGTGGGTGGATGGGTGTGTACGCACATGTCCTTATGTGTGCATTTTTTCCCTTTTTCTGTCAGTAAGAAGAGAAAAACTAAAACAGAGTGAGAGAATAGGCTTGGAAAAACCTGGGGAGTGATTTCTAAAGCTAACATGTAAATAAACCCACTTGCTAGAGAGGTTTACGGCTGGAAGTAAAAAACTGTTGTGTTTCAGAATCAGAGTAACAGATGTAGCTTCTACTTTTGATTACTTGTCAGGTTTTTCTTTCTTTTTCCTTAAAATGAACTTATTTATTTTCTCATAAAATACTGTTCCTTTACTTTCTGAGAAATTGTGTCAAGTTGAAAACTGTATTCTTTGGTAGTACATATATTAGTTCTTTTTGCTAGAGGATTGTTCTGGGAATTTGGCAACAATTTTCTTGTTCAGCAAATCAAAGACTATTAACGGGTCTCTATCTGGGCACTAGGGATTGTACATTTATGTGCATGTGTGATGAAACTGCTTCATACTTACTATTTTAAAAAATCCTGTTGAGGACTGGCGCGGCAGTCGCTCCAGCGCTGGGCGAGGAAGCGGAGCAGGGCCGCCGCCGGAGATGGTGAGGTCTTGCCGTGTTGCCCAAGCTGGACTTGAACTCCAGGGCTCAAGGGATCCTCCTGCCTCAGCCTCCCGAGTAGTTGGATTTGCTGGATAAAGTGTATTCCTGAGGCCATACATAATAGTCACTGGAAGAGTCTGAAATGTGGTTGAAGAGGGAAGCAAAATACTGAAATGAGTGTGAGAAAATGGCTCCAAAGGTTAAATGAAGCTGGAAAAATATGTAGATGCAGCATCGCAGCCTCTGCAGATGTTTGGGGATAATATTCCAGAGAGAGGTTGATCCCCTTGGATTAGGTAACTAGTCATAATGAAGAAAATTAGTCTTAAAACCTTCCAGAAATCTTTTAACTTGAATAAAAGTAAAGAAGAAACTGATTTCATGGTAGTACAAAAACCACCACTAGCCAGTGACTTTGGAAAAGATGATTCCTTATTTGGTACCTGCTACGGCAAAGACAGGGCCAGCTGTGATATCAACAGTGAAGATGAAAAAGGTGGCAAAACCAGATCCAAAAGTGAAAGCCTGATGGGTACGTTAAAAAGGAGGCTTTCTGCGAAACAGAAGCCGAAAGGTAAGGCCGGCACGCCCTCGGGGAACTCTGCCAATGAGGATACCCTCTCCTCCTCCTCAGCACCCATAGTCTTTAAAGATGTGAGAGCTCAGAAGCCGATACGGTCCACTTCCCTCCGCAGTCATCACTATAGTCCCACACCTTGGCCTCTTCGACCTACAAACTCTGAGGAGACGTGCATCAAAATGGAGGTGAGAGTCAAAGCCTTGGTTCACTCTTCTAGTCCGAGTCCTGCACTGAATGGTGTTGGGAAAGATTTTCACGACCATCAGTCTGAGACTGCGTGCCAGGAGCAGGCTAATTCACTGAAGAGTTCAGCTTCTCAGAATGGAGACTTGCATCTCCACCTGGATGAACATGTGCCTGTAGTTATTGGTCTTATGCCTCAGGACTACATTCAGTATACCGTGCCTTCAGATGAGGGGATGTATCCTCTGGAAGGATCGCGTAGCTATTGTCTGGACAGTTCTTCTCCCATGGAAGTCTCTGCAGTTCCTCCTCAGGTGGGAGGGCGCTCTTTCCCTGAAGATGAGAATCAGGTAGACCAGGACCTAGTCGTGGTCCCAGAGATCTTTTTGGAACAGCCCGTGAATGGCTTGTTGATTGCCACCACGGGAGTCATGTTGCAGAGCCCCAGAGCGGGTCACGATGATGTTCCTCCACTCTCCCCATTGCTACCTCCAATGCAGAATAATCAAATCCAAAGGAACTTTGGTGGACTCACTGGCACAGATGTCCACGTGGCTGAAAGTATGCACTGTCATTTGAATTTTGATCCTAACTCTGCTCCTGAGGTTGCAAGAGTTTATGACTCAGTGCAAAGTAGTGGTCCCATGGTTGTGACAAGCTTTACAGAGGAGCTGAAAAAACTTGCAAAACAAGGATGGTACTGGGGACCAATCACACGCTGGGAGGCTGAGGGGAAGCTAGCAAAAGTGCCAGATGGTTCTTTTCTTGTTTGGGACAGTTCTGACGACCGTTATCTTTTAAGCTTGAGCTTTCGCTCCCATGGTAAAACACTTCACACTAGAATCGAGCACTCAAACGGTAGGTTTAGCTTTTATGAACAACCAGATGTGGAAGGACATACATCCATAGTCGACCTAATTGAACATTCAGTCAGGGACTCTGAAAATGGAACTTTTTGTTATTCAAGGTCTCGGCTGCCTGGATCTGCAACTTACCCTGTCAGACGGACCAACCCAGTGTCCTGGTTCATGCAGGTGCGTTCTTTGCAGTACCTGTGTCGTTTTGTACGTCAGTGTACCAGAACAGACTTAATTCAGAAACTGCCTTTGCCAAACAAAATGAAGGATTATTTACAGGAGAAGCACTACTGAAAGATTGGGAACCCTGCATCTTGCACTTTGGGAATAAGAAAAAGAGATTGAAATACAGTTTACAAACTTTCATTGCCATCAAAATCTTTTGCTGCCATAACTATTTCAGTTTTATGTGTAAAAGAATCATTAATTTGTTTAGGGATGGGGAAGTGTCTGCAAGGTGTCTTGGGTTTATTTTGGTTCTTTAAAAAGGGAAGTCTTGAGGTTTTAGAAGTGTGAATTATCTTTCATCAATGTGCAGAATCACAATGTGAATTATCAAATTCTCCTTAACCCTACCCCCAGTCCTTTGCTGCTATCCACTGTGATTTTTATGCATTAAAAGCACATTTCATGTGTATTAAACCCTAAGTAAAGTTGAATGAAACTTAGAGTGAAAATTGCTATGTCTTTTTAAATGGCCCATTTCAAAAGATAGTGTTGAATAAACATACCTATGTGATAAAACAGAATTTACATATACACTGAAAATGATTTTTTAAAATTCTTTAAAAGGATTTATTTAGAATTACGAATTGACATAATCTTGGATAATAAAATGCAGATCTGCAACGTATCTTTTACAATGCTGTTTTCTAAATTATTTCTAAGGTTGTGCTCATTTTTTTGGTTGAATTTTTCTGTTGCCTTCATTTTCATCTTTGGGTTTGTCTATTTTAATAATGGTCTTACATTTAAAAAAAAAATCCTGTTGAGGTTTATATTTCATTGAAGGGCTAAACATGGTTCTGGAAAATATACTATCCCTTCTTAGAAAATATTTGCTCTATCAATCGAGAGGTATCTTACTCTAACCTCTGGATAAGATGTAAATTATGAATGCCAGTGATTACTGAGGAGTTCAGTGGTTACATAAAATTGAGCCAAGGTGGTAAGACACCTGACTGTATGAACTTTCTCTTCAAAAGATAAATTGAGAGGAATTTTCTAATTGGCCATAAGCAGTGCCCGTGACAGGCTTACTAGCGTTCTGTGGAGATGGACTATATGACTATAATCTCTCTTTTTCAGGTTCTGCCACTTGCTTGGAAAACAGCAAAAGAAGGAAATTAAGGAGCCACCCCTGCAATTTACCCAGGTACCCCAGCAGGGTCAATAGACAGATCGTGTCCCAAGGAGAAAAGCTGCAGGCATCTGAGGATCAACCACGCTGAAACAGGTTTGACCACGAAGCTGACCTAGAAGACTTTGACTCCAAGGTACAAGGTGAGTTAAAAGAACGAAGCTTAAAGCCAAAAACAGGGTTAGATGAGGCATTGCTTAACAGTAACAAAAGATTAGTGAGACATTACTAAGTCACAGGAAGGTGTTTCTTTGTATCTTTCATTTGTATATCAGATCTTAATATGTCATAATCCTCGTTACATTTAGTTATCCTAATAAATGGTTCCGTTTCTTTTTTTTTTAAGGATAGGTAGTAGAAAAACATGAGAAAATATTCAGTAACCCTTTTCTATTTTCTATCTGCAGTCTGGCATCGTGTAGACATAGACACTACCCTTCCCTTCTTGAGTAATGAATTTACAGACCTAAACCTAAAAATGGCCAAAATGTTATCCTTGCTTTCTTTATATACATATACACAAAACCACACATGCCTGAATACACACATTCTTAAAATGCACCCAGTTTTTGTAATCTTTCATTGCAAACAATCAGACAGTGTACCGTTTTCTTTTGCCCATGAGACTGAAATGGCCAATATGATACTATTAATAGCAATACTTACTGGGGTCTCCTTGTCATCTTTGATATTTGCAGTTATTATTTTCAGAGATACTACCTATATGCTATTTGACATCTTAGGCCCCGTGAGTTTGGTCTTCACAATTTAGACACACCCTTCCTAGTTATCTGAAGCTTTCTGATTTCTCAAGGTCAGTGATCGCTGGGGTGGAAGGTTGTGGCATTAGTGCTCTTGGGAAGCTTTTGCAAGCTGCGCATCCTCTACTCAAACTCTTATTTGCCCCAGGCAGTGGTGGAATGGTGATGGTGGTGATGATAATTCAGACACATGTAACTTGGGGAAAGCTCCCTATGTATTGTGATACCACTCCTGCCCTTTCCTTGCCCAGACTGATCCCTCTTGGTAGAGCAGAAACTGAGGCTCAACAATTTAGCATAATCATTGTTATATGAGAAACTTTCTCTTTATTACTGCATTATTTAAAACTATTTTTAGATTAGTGCTTGCAGACTGGTATCCCACAGGGCAAATTTTAG